GTCACGACGGTGACTTCCCGAATTTATAAACACGCGCAAAAACGGCCGGCCGGCTTCCTCGTCTCTTCGTGCAGAAACGTCAACAAACGTCGCTCAGTATCGGTCGCGGTGGCTGCTTTTTGTCGGCCGATCGCATCTAATCTCCGTGGGCCCCGCCACCCGAGGCACTTCTGCGGAGGGCAATGCTGCGGTATGTGTGCCGTTGGGTGGACATCAGTCGGGTTCAATGCGGGTCACCGGGTCTGGAAGCCTGAGCTCCACAGCTACTGGCTGCAGAGCGAGTCTGATTGGCGAGTTCACCAGCATAACGACGTCGAAAACGCCGCTGGAGCACCGCAAAACCGACATTGCCGCAGGCGAATGCATAATAAACGCCTCGCTAAAAATCGGCTGCAGATCTTACAACTTACAGGCGGCGTAACGTAAAAACGGCTGCGGAGAGGGAATTAACTTGTAATACGTACTTGTAATGCCTGGTAGAGAGCCTATCAATGTCATCTTGACAGTCGGTTTGAGTCGATAGTGGTTGGACACGACAGATTCGGCACTAAACACTCGTCTCGACTAACCGAACTGGCGGATACCGGGCCAGAGCCGACCGAGCCTGGACGCTCGTTTTGGACGAAACAGCTTGTAGTGATATGGCTAGCGCGATTGAAAACCTCCTTTGCCTTTCACAGTCTTGCAGGGAAGGCGTTTGGTGACTTCTCAGCTGATGTTGCAAGAAGTAAAAGGTTCGAACATGTTGCGGCAGTTTTAGTTCCGGCCGGTGGGTACTCGGGCAGCTCTGGTGAGTTCGATCGGGTCCGGCGGCGTGTGACATTGTGTCGGTTCTCAGACGGGTTCTCAGCCGGCGTCCGGGAGACGCGGCGCAGTCGCACGCAGCCCCGCTCGTGATGGCACTATTTACGGGCATCGCCATAAACAGGGCCTAATTCCCGAGTGGGTACCATCAGATATACCTCCAGCTGATCCGTGCAATGTCTTAATTACGGAGCGCCGACAAAAAGTGGCCACAAAAAGGCCGCTCTCGGGTGACCTCGGCGGCCGGGTGGGTCCGCCCCCGCCGCCCGGTCCCGGCCGGCGCAGAGAGCCGCGGGTCAGGCCGGGTCACCGGGAAGGCGACCCGGCCCGGTCGGAGGGTGCCGAGACCAGCGGTCACCGCCAGTTCCCCGCCGAGGGACGGCCGGCGTCCGTCCGACCGCGCTCCGAGCCGGAAAAGCGCTCCCCGCCGGCCCCAGTTTTCCTGCTGTCCGCTCCCCGAGACCAAACCGGGCGCCGCGATGAGTAAAAGACACGTTCTCGGTTGTAATAAAGCGGGTTTATTAGCCCGGTGGCGGCTGCAGTCATCTGGAGAGCCGGGGAATCGGTGTTTTCGGCGACTTTGCATGAGACCTGTCGCTGGTTAGTCATGGTTTTGAGGTAAACACAATTGATTGCATGACATGCAGCGTCTGTGTAAAAATGCATGAACCGAAAAAGCGCGCTATTCCGGTGTTTTCAGTCCGGGCGCGGACGCTAACGAATGAGTACAGCACGCTAATTGAGCCGGCTTATCAGGTCTCAATTAGTCATGATCCAGTATTCAGTTCCTGTGACCGGTGCAGGAAGGTGCCCAGGACGCCAAAAGACTGTTATCAACTCATCTGTAGCGCAGGTGTCGTTGCATATTCCTAACGGCTGATTAACATCATTTATTTAAGGTAAAGGCGTTGCATTAGGAGTAAAAACGGAGCGGCCCTAATCGGGTTACCAGACCTCGCCTTTCACTTCGTCGGCCCCCGTCACTGAGGTCGATGGTTCATTCTTATACCCGCCCTGCGACAGATGAAAACCTTGAATCAATGTTTGGATGATACAGTGTCGGGGGCCCATGCTAAGTCCACCCATCAGTTATTGAGACCTGATGCATTTTCGGTGGCTTTTCCAATGTCTCCCAGGCTTCCACGAGTCTCGCTAATCCGTGAGTGAGGTTGTCGATGTCTCAATGACTACCTCTCCATCGTTTCACACACAAATTGCCGAGCCATCTCCCGGGGCGATGTGACTGGACGGTATATGCCCCCCCTCCCCCCCCCCACGGCGTGGTTCAGACAGCTCCGTTAGTACACCACCGGCCATCGGACGGCCCTGCCGCGTCCGACGCCCTCGTCACGCGCCGGCCGACAAATGGCTGCGGACGGCGCCGGCACCTCGGGCGACCGGCCGCGCTCAGGTCACCGGGGAGGGGCGGGTCACGTGAATTACTCCCGACCCGAGGCGGCGGTGTGACAGAGAGCGCGAGAAAAGCGCACAAAAACGCGCCATAAAAACAAATAACATCACTTTACCCACGATAAACGTGCTAATGCTTCACTGGGCTATCGCAGCCCGGAGAGCGGTTCGTGGCCCTCACTCGGCGGCGATAAGAGTGAGATGTTTCACAGCCTCGCGCCGCTTCATAGTGACCGACTTTCGAAAAGGACCCGACTTAGTCAGCATTTGAACCGAGCAGCCGGTGCGGTTGGTGCCCTAGCCTCGCTGGCAACAATACTCCTTGGAATGAGACTTGTCCCCATTGATTCGGTGGACGGAGTGAAATGTTTGTCAAAACAACACGGCGACGACAATGCATTCAGTTTCGGCTTATAGATCCGCTTCGGCTGATACTGATTCGTTAAGCCCAATGTCGCAAAAGTGGCTACCGTGCATGCATAGCTTTGCAAAGTTTGGGCACCATTCATGTGCTCAGTGTTTACAATCCTTGACCGCTGCCCCAGAAGTCACCGTCCAAGGCGCCAGTTCGAGTCAGTTTGTATTGCTGATCGAACTCGGGTCGACTGACCACAACAGGGCGACACTGGAGCCGTGCGTGCCGCCCCCCCACACCCTCGCAGGCCGGCGGACCAGATAGGCCCGCCGGCCGGCCGGCGGAACGGCTGGCCCGCACCTGAATGGACCCGCGCCAGCCTTGGAACGTAAAAGTGCATCGAATATGTAAGCAGATTGGCGGCAAACAGTTAGCCGATCGTGAGCACACAGCCGTATATCATCAGCAGTCATCACCAGCGTCGACAGGCGGTCTGTCGACAATGGAGCACGATACGGCATCCACAGGCGGCACTATACTCGTATAACGATAGGATGGAAAGTGCCGGCGATGTGTTAAAACAAAACATCGAATGGCAATTGCATGTTATCAGCGAAAGTGAGGAACGCGTAAGTTAATGTGCTTTATTTAGAAATCGATAATGTCAAAAGCTTACGATGAATAAGATGCGAATAAATAAAATAAGGAGTAATAAATTGTAAACGAGTAGCGCTAATTTAATCAGGAGTAGGTAAGCAGCATCGTAATTACATTCCTTCTGAACAGAGAAATTATATCAAATGGTCTACCCGTGCATCCGTAAGGTGGCGGTGCGGGGAGTTTCGCGATCCATTTTTATGAAATAGCCAGTTCCTAATGATTTTGTGAAGAGCTGCAGAAAGAAAATTGAGATAGCATGACAGACATCGGCCACATCTCGTGAAAAATCGGAATAGTCTGCATTCCATGACCTAAGTCTTAGTGATAGTTTTCGTATCCGAGGGATCGGTCTGCCTGTAATCGGAGTATCGCAGACCCTGCACAAGACCCGAGTCATGTGCCCTCAGTCGGGCCCAGCTCCGTGTGAAGTCGCCCATCTCCTGCTGGGGTACCGTCGCCAGATCCCCGCGGCCCTCCGCCGGTGTTTGACGCAGTGCCCCGCGCCGTGACACCCGTCTCCGACAGCAGGTCAGCTCAGCTCCGTCACCGCACCACCAGGATGTTCACGCGGCCCGTGACACCTGTATGTGATGGCGCCGAGCAGTGTCCCGGCGAGGGGGAGCCGTCCGTCAGAGGCCGGCGTGCGGCGGCTGACGGGCGACCGGTCCGGTCCGTCCGCCGGCCCCCCGCGACCGACACGTGTCCGCAGCGTCCGGCCGCCAGCGCTCCCTCATCTAATGACGCCCGCTCGAGCGCTGATTGATTCGATGTCGCCGATGGAGCGCATCTCATGCATGCTAGTGGACCACCGGCGGCCGGACGGCAGCCAACACCGCGGCTGGTTCGACTTAGCATAAACGGAGGAGCCGCGCGGCCGGCTTCCCAGTAGCGCGACTGGAGTCGGAGGGTGTCCGCCGGGGCGAACACAGCTCTGTGCGCGCTCTGTGGTCGCCGCTTCCGTGCTCGTTATGGGCGGTAGTTGTCAGTAACGGGATCAGCCGGGACTCGGGCCCCATTCAGCGTCCGTTCCCGGAGACACACAGTGTGCAGGCAACCGAGCCGAGAGATAGGCCGGTGTCGACGCTGGCATAGCCTTGGTCGCATTGATGGTCCTTGGATATGGGTGTCCGTGAGTGTCGCAAACAGTAACTCTACATCGGCCTGTCCGGTTCGCGGCATGCATTACTCACGGAGCGGGCTGACCTCGTGCGCGCGGCGCAGATCCTCTCCGGCTCGCCGCCCCCGGCGCGCACTCAGAGATCTAATGGCCCGGACTCCCCGCAGCGTGCCGGCAGCGCAAATCCCCGCGCCGTCAGTCCACGCACATACCCGGCGCGCCGCGACCCCCGCTCGCCGGCGCGGACCATCAGCGCGCGCACCGCAGACTGTCGCGTGTGCGTGGCCGGGCCGGATTCCGGGCGCATCTGGCCGGTCGGCGCGTCACGACCGAGGCTGCCTCGACGGTCCGCTGCATGGCCCAGGGCTTACCGCCGGCGACCTCGGCGGCCGCAGCTGGCCCCGGGCGCCGGCCGACATGACTGTATCATTAGTGGTCGCCGGACTTATCGCCGGCCATATCGCCGAGCAGGCAAACAGACCCAGAGTCCCCGGCCCTTCCTCGTCCATCGCTGCAGGCACGCGTGCCGCCCGCCCGCACAGCTCAGGCAGGAAGGTCGGACAATGCACGCGTCCTCAGGATGTACTGAAGACGACTGGTTATGTTGTGTCTCGAGTTTCCAAGGATATGAAAGACAAACCTTTTGTGTTGCAGACGGAGCTCGCTCGCGGTTCATTTGCGTTTGCCTGGTAGCCGGCCCCAGCACCGTCTCCGCGGCCAATGGCCACTAGTGCAGGTCAGTTGTCCAGAACCTGCCGCCCGGCTCCCCATGGCTACTGCGGCGGCCACAGGTCAGATCCCGGCCGGTCGCGGCCCGCTGCCCCGCCCCGTCCACTGCGCGGACCGTGAGGCGAAACTGCGCGCCGGCCGGCCTAATTGCCGTGACCGCAGAGACGCCGTCACGGTCGCCACAGGCCGTTACGGGCCCGTCACAGGCCGTCACGGCGTCACGGGCCGCCGCTCCGCGCCGCGGCGGCACACCTGCAGCCGTGTCGGTGTCGGCCGCGGCTCGACACAGCCGCCGCAGCAGGTATTTCAGTTAGCGGCCGGCCCCGTCACTTTTCGCCTCATCCGCCGCTTCCGGCCGGCCCCGCCACGACCAGTAAATTTTCACTAGGGTATTAGCGGCCGCGAAATGGGGCTGCGGCGAGACACAAACGGTCGTTTCTTTCTGCAATGTTGCAAACGTTTACGCCGCGGCTGCCAGAGCTGGGGAGCTCGGAGGGCAAAAACGGAGCTGACCCGGGCCACGGCACCGGGCGCGGAATTTGGACAATCCTGGTGACGAGGCCAGCTGGCCGGGACGAGCGTTGCGTGCGCTCGATTTTATGGCGGTCTCCTGCAAATGCTGAGTAATTTTCCCTGTCGGTCGCCGATAAAAAACCTCCGCTCGGCCGCGGCCGGTGCACGTCCCCAATGACGTCACGGGAACGGCGACCAATCGGTAGGCAGCGTGAACTGATGGCTGGTGGACCATAGGTTGCCACTGTCGCTACGTGAGGCCTATAACTACTACTACGGTGCTCTAGGCAAACCTGTCCTTGTGAGTTCACCGCTCACGAGCTGGGATCACAAACGGACAAAGTTCCTCACTGCACGGAGCTGAGCTAATTCAGTTACATCATGGGAAATTTGAGATGGATGACCAGCCTAAATAAAACACTAAGTGAAACAACAATAAGCAGGTGAGGTGAAGAAATGATAATTTTCCCATTGAGTAACTGACCTATCCGCTATACGGACAAAGCGAATTAACCCTCTGAAAAAAACATACCAAAGCGGCGCGATGGTCGCAATGTGAAAACACAGTTACGATGTTCGTCGATTGAACAGCACTGCTCATTATCTGTGCAACTGGTAAAAATAATCAGGCGAAATACCGATGCATAATTTCAGGCTTCGCTGATGTGGAATCCTACGGCCCTTAAAATTTATAACCGGCTTTCGGTCCCGCCGTTATTACATTCAGGTGCTTTCCAGTAACATCGGAAGGTCGTTTCGCTTACACGTGCATGCGGTGTCGAAATTCGGTTTGCGACTCCGACGCACGGGGCTGAGCTCCCGGCCCTATAACGAAACTGGCTGCCATCCGGCCGGGACAATGAGGCGCGCGCCGTCAGCTGACGCCGTCAGTGACGTCACCGGCCGGCTGATTGCACTGACGTCGCACGGACCGGCCTTCACGCAGTCGAGCCCGGCCACCGACAGGAAAGGCTGCACGATTAATGGGCCGCTTTTAATGAGCCGGCGGCGGCCGGCGCCGTGCGCTGCCCTGCTCTGCTCTCTCTGTACCGGTGTCATGGCGGGACGGGGCGGGTCGCCGCGCGGGGCCCGCCCGGGGTGGCCTCTGCCTGGGGGGCTGCAGGGGGGGGGGGGCTGCCCGAACTGGTCCGCTGCAGGCCGTCCGCCGGCGGAAGCTCGCCGTCCGCCGGCGCAGCGGCCCCTCCAGAGGCGTGTGCGCCGCCGACCGGTCAGCCGGCGCCCCGCCGCTGCACATTTGCAACAGCAATTCACGTAATTTTCGCGATATCTTGTTACTTACACGCGGGGACAATGGGGCAGCCGGACAGGAAAATTACGGCCGCCCGGTCGGTTCGGTGGCGGCTCGTGACGCCGCCGACCCGCCGCTTCCGGCGCTCCGGTGCCGAAAAACAGGCCCGTCGGTCGGCCGGCCCGGGCCGGGTCCCGGTCAGCGCGGGTCGGTCGGCCCGCCGCGGCACCCACCGGTCAGTGTGTGACTCTGTGACGGGTCGGTGACGCGCGGCACCCACCGGTCAGTGTGTGACTCTGTGACGGGTCGGTCGGCCCGCCGCGGCACCCACCGGTCAGTGTGTGACTCTGTGACGGGTCGGTCGGCCCGCCGCGGCACCCCCCGGTCAGTGTGTGACTCTGTGACGGGTCGGTCGGCCCGCCGCGGCACCCCCCGGTCAGTGTGTGACTCTGTGACGGGTCGGTGACGCGCGGCCTGCCGCCGTTCTCACGGTCATCCCAGGGCGGCCCCGCCCGGCGACCAGACGCAGCACGGCCCGCCGGCCGGCCGCCATGACGTCAATGAAGAGCCGAGATCGATGGATTAGATATTCGTCTGCCCGCTCGGGTGTCTGCCCGCTGCAAGACGGACAGATACCCGCTGCAGACGGACGGACGGCAGGAAATTTCCACCGCCCGCGTTGTGTACAAGATGTGCTATCTGTGTAGGTGCATTTAGGATGATGCACGTTTCCTGAAGATAGGCCGATGTCCGCATCACGGGAACACATCATTCTGACAGAAAGATAAATGGCCAGACCACACTTTCCTTCTTACGGACACCAGCGCGCACGTTTTGCCTACACGAGTGCGAGTAATTGCACTCAGGCATTTTATTGAACTCTGGTATGGAGCGCGGGCCAGAGCGCGCTATATAAGAGCAGGCGGTCGCATGGCTTATCGAGCGCACGGCCCCGCCGGCCTCCCCAGTCTGATGTGCGTTAAAGTGAGCGCTGCTCCGGCGGACAGGCCGCTGCCTGCAGTAATGTGACGGACGGTCAGATGGGCGCTGGCAGTGTCGGACAAAACACCGCTGAACGGCGCGGTGGTGCGACCCGATCAGGACCGAGTCACTTGGGATCGCTGCTGATTTTGGTGGGTCGGCTATAACCATTCTAGAAATAATGGGCCGTCATGTGCCTGGCAGCCATACTCGTATCCCAAGCACTTATTCTAAAAGGTAAACACGGTGATAGGTAGTGAACTTACGCCAGGAGGCGTTTCAAAAATAGTCAAGTCATTTTTCTTCACAGCATCTGTACCATTCTTGGTACTCTCTGACATCAGACAACTGATCCGTGATAAATCTGCTCTCGCAATTGGCTGTCGTGGGAGGTTACATCTAAATCACTCTGCTGGGACTGGATTAGCCCTGCTGTTTGATAACTTCAGACCGCTAATCCTTTTGTAATCGACATGGTACCGAGGTGCCGTCACGTCTTGTTTGGGACGTCTGTCCGATACGGCTCCTGTCGTCTTCCACACACGGTGCAGACCAGAGGAGGGACAACAGAAAGGCGGTGACGGGATCTCGGACGGAGCCCGCCTCCATTGGACCACAACTGGGGTCATTGTGCAGTGGATCTACATATTGATAATTTTAAGTCGTATCGGTAAAGCATAAGTCACCAGATTCAAGTACTGTTACCGGATCGATGTAATGACAATGTCATTGCAACTGCAGAACGATTGAAACAATCTTCACAGAGTAACTCAGACAATTTTTATAGCTTGTGTAAGGCAGAAGAAAAAAGGAAAAAGAAACAGACGTTGAAGGAGCTATAAAATATATCATTCATTACATAAATGGCAAGAATATATTACACACTTTTGGGGGGTCTTGCCATATGTCTTTTTTTCCAGAAGAGGCGATTCATTCATTGCATTCGATCAGTTACCTACGGAGCTGGGCGCACTCGGACCGCAACCCGCTCAGCTAACAGCGGAGCTCTCAATACGGCAATGTGCGATCGCTGTTAACAATTTGAACAGCAGTTCTGTCTTGTCACCTGTCAGCTCAGTGCCAATCGAACAGCATCTGAGCGGTTTTCACCGAGCATCAGGCTCATTTCATCTCGCCCCCTCGAACACCGTTTGGGAATTACCGGCGGCTGTGAGCGCGGCTGCCTAATGCAGCACCCATTAGATAGAACCCGCCACCCACCGCGGCCGGGCCGAGCCAACACCGGCTGTGCAGGCCGGTCTGCCGGCGCCCGGCACACCTATCATAGTAGCCGCCTAAGCCGTCTGTTGGCCGTCAGCGCCCGGCCACCCGGGTGACCACTTCACTACTTAGGCCGACACCTCCGCCGGCAGAGTTTTACACAGTAAATGGAGAGTCCGGTTATCCGCCGCAGACAGGCAGACTGGCCCATCTACTTCAGGCATCGCCGCGGCGTGATGACGGGCTACAGACCGGACCGATTCAGAAAGGTGGGAAAACAGAGCTCCGCTCAGAAACGAAACGCAACCGGCTGAAAGTTCCGAACTACGCCAGGAATGGGCATTGCCTGACGCCCGGATTTTCTCCGACCGACGCCGGCCCGTATCAGCGGTTTCAGCGCCGCCGACTCGGCGGCTGCAGGCTCGATCTCGGCCGTATCGGCGGCCATCGGTGCAGTAGCGGGAAACTGTCCGTCCGGGCGGCCGCTGATCGGTTTCATCTGACGGCCGCCGCCGGGCGGGGGCGGCGGCGGCGGCTACCGGCGACCGCAGCGCGACCGATGCCGCCAGCTAATTATCTGCGCGGCATCGCTATCGGCGCGCTGATCGGCCGCTCCCAGCGCGGCGCGCGCTGATTGATTGGACGATCGGCCGTCGCCAAAAATCGCCGTCCGCTCTCCCATTGTGTGTGCGCGGCGAGAGCTTTAATCTGGAGCAGCGCGGGCCGGCCGCGTCTGCGGCAATCGAGACGCATCGACACCGAGAAATATTTAGGACCGCCGCATCGCCGCGACCATCGCCGCTTGTTACCACAGTCAAAAAATGAGCACTTTTGACAAATTTTAATTGACGGGTTCGCAGCCGGGTGCATCCCAAGGCACTGGCGATCATCAGCCGCCTGTCCCGCCGGGCTCCGTCCCGTCGGCGTCTTCAAACCAGCTGACAATTTATGTCTTGGTCGGCTGCAGCGCGCATCAGACGCCCCACTTGCGTAACGCATCGTGGCCGCGTCAATTTTCGGCGTGGCCAAATAAAACAGCAATG